CCTGCTGCCAGGCAGCCCTGCACTTTTCTAATTCCTCATCACTTGGAAACTGATTTCTAGGATTAAGGGTGCTTTCGCGTCTTTTCAGAGCTAGCAAAATTCACCTACGCTTGCAGGAGATAATGTTGAAAAGCCCCAGCAAGCCGCTGGCATCATTGTGCTGATAGAAAACCACAAATGTTTTAAAGGAATAAGCAGCAGAGGGTTAAAAGTGGGTGCAATGAGTGCTGGGGAGTACAAACACTGCTCAGAGAGAGAGAGAAGAGGGGGAAAAATCAACCTGATGGAGGGTCTGTGAAGGCCTTAAAAATAAAAAGGCATGGATCTTCACCCGTCCCTGGGCAAGGGATAGGGATCAGTTGTGAACTGTGGGCCGAGTGTGCTATAGACATGGCCAAAGCATGGACCAGCTTGGTGCCTGGGGAATTGCACCTTCCTCCTCCACAACGGCTTTTGCAATGTTTGAACTAGGATGAACGGGAGGAAAAAAAGGTCAGGAGCATGACCGAGTGGAGGGAACCAACATCTGGAAATGCCAGGACACAATCAGGAGGCTCCTTGTTCCCCCTGTCTAATGAGAGAAGAAGAAATGAGTGCCCGGAAGGAGGGAGGACGAGGAATTCATCAGCGATCAGGCTCTTCGGGGAGGCCGTCTCAGCGCGAGCGCATGTTGCTGTGCCGTTGCTGGATAACGTGTCGGGGTAGACGTGTGGCTGCTGTGTTTCAGCTGGGGTATTTTTTATTCAGGTCAGCAAAGACTGGTTCTCTCGGTGACGTTCTAGGTCCTTTCTCAGAGTAAAATCAATTGCCTTCAGTTCAGATTGGATCCCTGGCTCGGCCAGAGGCTTTTTTAAGTTAAAGCTGTCTGGAAAGAAGGATCGTTGTCTGAAAATTAGGGAAGGGCTTTTTTAAATCCGTGCAGTGGAGCGACCACATGGCATGTGGCTTGGTGCTGTGGGTCGAGGTTGTCCAGCTCTGCTACCAGTCGGTGTCAGTCCTTCCATCTCTCAGAGACGTGTATCATGGAGAAGTGGGGCTGGTTGCAGAGGTTGCATCTAGTTCTGAGGCAGGATCAGCCCTGTCCAAACCATCCTGTGCAAATCCATAATCTAACCTCATTGTAATACCACCATCAACTCTGACACACCATAAGAAAGCACACATGACCCTGCCACAGATCAAGCAGGGGAACTGCGGCGACCAACGTCCTACTTCTGTAAAAGGTTGTTGGTATACCCTCGGGAGATCCCAGGAAGAGGTCTGTGCCCCCCACTAGAGAGTAAGGCAAACCCCCCCACAGTTTATACCAATCCGACCATGGGGTAAAATTCCTCCCTGACCCTGGCATAGGTCTGACCCTGAATGGAGGGGCAAGACCCACTAGCCAGGACCCTCCTGGTTTTAGTCCCAGCAGGAGCATTGGCAGTCAAAAATTGCCAACCTGGGCTGCAGCCAACACCCAGTGCCTTTGAGGAAGGTGCAACCCCCCTGGCTCATGTAGCAGAAAGCAGGGGAGGGGACAACCAGCAAAGTCCAGAAACCTGGGAAACCCCTGTAGTAGGACATAGGCATAGCTATGCCTACACCATCCCTGACCAGTGGCTGTCCAGCTCTTCCCGACCACCTCCAGTGATGGAGAGTCCCCTAGGCAGCACTTCCACAGGAGATGGTTTTGTGCTCCGTCATAGCTGACCAGCGTCCGTAAAACTAGGTGCTGGGGCATGTATGGGATTGGAGTGAATGACAGCCGTCTACCACCCTCCAACAGGTTGTGTGGGGGGAAGACGGGGCACTTTGAGGTTGCAAAGTCAGCAGGGTGGCAAGCAGGTTGGGGGGTTGACAGAGGGCCTTCACATCCATCCACATAGAGTTGGCGCTGCACCACGGTCCCCCGCGAGCCGGAATCTCTCCTCTGCTGCTGCTAAGTGATGCCTTTTCCGTTCTAGATGGCAGCGCGATCTTCCGCGGATGCTTCCACAGGCCGGACAACATCTCCATAGCTTTGCCTGTGAGCCAGGTGATGCTCAACATGTCGGTAGACAAGTGCGTGGACTTCTGCACTGAAAAGGTAAGTGTAACGCCCATCCAGGTATCCCCTGACAGGGACGGGCCTCTGAGCTGACACACAACCTCCAGCTAGCAGGGGTAACTCCTTAGAGCCCAGTGAGTCAACTGGTGTGAGCCAGAGAGGACCTGATTTAGGGTCTTCTCATGGCTCAGCCTTGGCCTCTGAATAATAATAATAATAATAATAATAATAATAGGAATCACAGCAGATTGATTTTAATCTGGTTTCCTATAACAACATGTAGCCAAACTACAACCAGCACCATTCACAGCCTACCTTTTCACCATAAAAAAACACTTACGCATCAGTAGGATAGCAATGCAGAGGGTTGCTACAACTTCTCCCCTTTCACTTCATCTATAAGCTACCTGGGTATTATCCCCTGACTGAAGCTTTACCTGGAGCAGTCTGACAAGCCTTTCACAGATTCAGAGGAAGGTTTTTGTATTTCTGCGTTGGTGGTGGCCAGATTTGACCACATCGCTGCAAGCACCTACTCTGGATACCTTCAAGAAATGCCTGGATGCTCACCTTGCTGGGGTCATCTGACCCCAGCTGACTGCCTGTCCTTTGGGCAGGGGGCTGGACTGGATGATCTCGCGAGATCCCTTCCAGCCCTGATGTCTATGAACTCCATGAAACAACAGCGATTGCTTCCCGTATGAAAATGAGAGGTCAGGGTCTCAGCTGATACAAATGATCACCAGTTCATTCAAGCCGAGGGAGTGATGCTGATGAACGTTAGCTGAGCATCCGGGGCTGCGTCAGCTCCATCCTGTACTCCTAAGACTCAACAGGGTGTAGAAGGAGGTGCTCCCTGCTACCTCCCTTGGCGGTGCGTCTGAATGGAAGGGATCAAAGAAAAAGGTCTGGGTGGAGAGGCTGTGGTGGGTGTGGGAGGGGGACTGAGATGGTGGAGAAAGTGGGGTTGGAGAAATGATGAGGAGAGTGTCCCTACAGAGTCCCGTGAAGGGCCTGGGTAAGAGCCAGAGGGGCCTAGAAGAAAGGAAAGACTGGGTCTCTTTTCTACTTTATATGCAAGACCCAGAGACAGGAAGGCGGGGAGAGGGATTTAAGCTATCAGCTCATCCTCGAGGGAGACTTGGTCATGTCTGGACACAGGAGTGAGGCTGAAGGAAAGCTTATGTTTTCTGTTGCCCAATGCCTTGAAAACACACCGTGAGCAGCTCCTGCCCAGGTGAAGACGGGTCCCCACAGAGCTGACAAGGCATTGCCCCACCTGGCCGGCTGCTTCAACACCATCAGCTGCTTAGAGTCCCTTTCCATCAGGTTTCTGAGGTCCTACCTTCATGACTTGGTGGAGCGTGCATGTGTTAACACCTTCGCTTCCACCTTCTGCTTCCCTTGGGGTAACACTGAAGCTAAATGGGTCTACACCCAGTTGCCCCAGCTAAGGATTTGGCTTTCGGGCAAGGGTGGGGAGGGCATCTTTCTGACCCAGACTGCACACTTGCCAAGGGTCTTGTTGAGCAGGGGCAGAGCGGGACCTTTGGGCCAGCTAGCAACAAGATCTCCCACCCACCCCAGACTTTCACTATACTCTAGTAACTTCCCTTAATTAGCGACCTGAGACCTCTAGCCGGGTTTTGTCTGTGTTTGATGCAATGTGATGCGAAATGCATGAGAGGGAGCCGCAAATTGTGCAATGGTGGGATGGGGAAGGGCAGATTCCTTCTTCACTGCAGCGGCACTGGTAGCTCATGCCCTGAAACATGAAGATGGTTCATTTCTGCGGTGGCTCGGATGGCTGCAGATATGAGTCACAGAAAAGTCGAAGGCCATTTTGGAAACTAATTCAGGTGCCCCTGCAGTAGTGATCTTTGTTGCAAACAGCATCCGGGTCTGCAATTAGCAGGGACGCAGAGAGCTTCAGGCGCGCCCCGAAAGAGTAGGGTGCTCTCAGGCAAGGAGCTACAGAGGAGCAGCTGCCTCTAGGGGAATTTGAATGAGGCGCTGGGGTTTTACCGGGTTGCTTCACACCCATGAAACCCCCTAGTCTTGGAGAGGCCCATTTCAGGAAGCTCAAGCTTAAATCGCAGCTACGTCCTGCGGCCCTGCATCCACTGACCCTGGAGGTCTCTCTGCTGTAAGGTCACAGGGTATGTCCAGAGATCCCCCAAGCGAGACGTGCAAACACTAGAGCCCCTGGAGAGGAGTCCAAATGGCACCATGCAACCGCACCGGGATAAATCCCCAGAGCTAACTACCCCAGGCAGGCATAGCGCTATGCCCAGATGCCTACACTGCTCCGGTGCTGGAGCCGGGGTGCGCTTGGGCACCTCTGCTCAGGGCGGCAGAGACGTCCGCTCCGTGTTGCAGGCCGCTCAAACAGATGCCGGCTGAAAGGAAGGGAAGGGATTGGGAGCCTGCCTTGGCTTCCTACATCTGGCAGCTCAAACACACTGGAAGATTTTTTCATCCTCCAAACCACACACCAGAAACAGAGGCTCTTTCCCCGGCTGTACGGCGCTGACAGGCTTCTCAGCGGGCTCCCTCAACAGCCGCGAGAGCCCCGCTGAAAGCCATTAGGTTCCCTGCTCTCTGTCCACAAGAACCGGGGCCTCTTCCCCCGGCTGTACGGCGCTGACAGGCTTCTCAGCGGGCTCCCTCAACAGCCGCGAGAGCCCCGCTGAAAGCCATTAGGTTCCCTGCTCTCTGTCACATCAGTTAAATACGAGCTGCGGCTCTGCACCTCGGCCCTGCTTTCTCGCCGCTCCCTGGAGAGCTGGGCTCGGGGAGATGTAAATAAAAGCCTGTGTGTGGAGCCCCTTGATTAACCCAGCGTTGCCGCAGCCCCGGCTGTTAAATTGCCTGTCACTCTCTGAATGTTCCCTCATAACTCTGTACTTTAAAATCCAAATGAGGTCACTGAAGATGCAGTCTATGGGCTTTTAGTAACCTTACTCTGGGTGACAAACTCACAAATTACCAGAGCTGTAGCAGGCCATGATTTTAAGAGGAGCATCATAGCTCCAGATATATTACACCCCGCGCTAGCAAATAGCTCAGCAATTTCCACGCCGGCGTTTTTGGAATGCAGGACCACGGCTGAGCGAGGAGACGCTGGAAATGATAGAAATCTGGGAGGTTTCTTTTCTTTTTTTTCCTGCTGGCCACTGAGACAGCACTGCAGGCAGATCTGAAGGAGGCGCAGAGCCTCGCGGCTGGATTCAGATGTGGGTTGGCAATGGGCGATGCAACTCTGCCCGCGGGATGGGCCGTCTGGACGGAGCACCGCACACCTTCCTTAGCTTGCACTGGGCAAAAGAAGAGGCTCAGGAGTAGCTTATGGGGGGAGACTTTCATGTCTTTTTAATGCAAAGGGGGAGCAAATGGAGCAGCAGAACCCAGATGTGTGCTCGTCTTCCCTCCCCCCAGTTAGAAGGAATAAAAGGGGCTCTTCAAAGCATGGCCCTGGCAGGTAGCCGGAGGGGTCCAGCTGGGCCAGGTGGGGTGGAAAACCTCCGCGAGGACCTACTTGCAAGGGGTAGGGAACAGAGGCAGGACATCCTGCTTTTGCCACTCTCAGTAGCAAGCTTCCTCTACGTGGTAATGGTCCGTGAGCTGGGAAGCACAGCTCGGGGAGCCGCGGGAGGAGAGGTGCAGATCAAACTGGGACGTGTTTGGATCGTACAGTGACGAGGGCCGCAGATTTCCCATCCGCACACAGGACTGGGGACCCCGCCAGGAACACGACACAGCCAGGTTGGAGAGGGAAGGGACAGCCCCTCTGTCTGTGCACCAGCCAGGCCTACAGTGCGAGGAAGGCTGCTCCCATGGTTCAAAGAATCATAGAAAATGAGGGTTGGGAGGTCACATCTAGTCCACCCCCTGCTCCAAGCAGGACCAGCCCCAACTACATCATCCCAGACAAAGCTTTGTTTAGCTGCAGCTTAAAAATCTCCAAGGATGGCGACTCCACAGCCTCTCTGGGTAGCTTATTCCAGTGCTTTACCACACTCCCGGTGAGAAAGTTTTTCCTAATATCCAACCTAAACCTCCCTTGCTGCAACTTGAGCCCAGTGCTCCTTGTTCTGTCATCTGCCCCCACTGAGATCAGTCCAGCTCCATCTTCATGTGCTGCAGCTATTGGGTACCCAAAGATGCCTGCTGCATGCCTTGGGCGGTAGGGTTGGAAGAGCTGCTTGCAGCTTAGCTGAGAAACTCAGGTTAAAGCCTGATCCTCCAAAGGGACTAAAGGAAAGGCTCCAGCCACCACAATGGCTCCTTTGGGAACCATTAGAGGCAGGAGAATTAAAGGGAACTTGGCTCCTAGGGCCAGCCGTCACCCTAGGGTTAATTGGGAAAGGCCTTCGTGAGATTGGGACTTGCCTCATAGCTTGGGGACGTGGGCCCAGGTTACAGGGGTGCACTGTCTCCTAGCCGGGCGCATCTCACTCGGGCTGAAACGCTCCATCTCTTGCTCCCCACAGGAATACCCGCTGTCGGGCCTCGCGGGGACCTCCTGCCACTGCGGCTTCCCCACCACACTCTTCACCCTGCACGAGCGCGAGGATGAGCAGCTGTGCGCGCAGAAGTGCACTGGCGAGGATTTTGAGAGCTGCGGGACTGCCGAGTACTTCATCGTCTACCAGACACAAGTGCAAGGTACCCAGAGTCCCGCCTGCCGCTGTCTCACTCCCGGGGCTCTTCGGGCTGGTTTGCTCTGGGAGGTTCCCAAGATGCGTCTGCCACGGGGACGGGTTTGAACTCTCCTCCTGCAGAATGAGCAATGCCTGGTGCAACCTCTCACCTGCGTGGGGTAGGGGTAGGCATGAGCCCTCTCAATTATATCTCTCATGCGGCAAATCACTCTGCAAGGTTATTTCTTACCTCTTGTAAGCTACCCAGCCTGCTTGCTGCACGCCCAGTGTGGAGGCCATTCCCCCCCCAGCACCTCCGCTAAGAAATCTTTTGCTTGATGAAATCTTGAGTTGTGATCCCAGATCCATAGCAAGTGCTCGGGGGTCTTCGCTGAGCAGCATGTTGAGACCTCGTTCCTCTTCCCCAGTGCACTTTCTGTGCAGACTTGCCCTCCCGGCCCGGCTGTTGGAGGGGAAGGAGACAATACCTCATACCCCTGGTTGCCGCCTGTGTTTAAATTCACCTTCGGCATGCATGGAGACCCGAACCTCAGTTTGCCCCGGATAAAATAACATCAGTTTCCAACCATCCATTCGGCTTTCATTAAAAATTACCATTTATTTTAATTTCCCAGGAAATAAATCCTCCTCTGAACAAACAGCTGTAATTACTGCTTAAATCAGGCACAGGAAATAACAGTTTGCCATCTGCCTTCAGCAGATTTCTTTCTCATCTTCTTTCTTTCTCTCTTTCTCTCTTTCTCTCTTTTGTTCTTCTTTTTCTTTTTTGTTGTTGTCACCATCGAGTCGCGGGCCAGAGCGACTGCTCGTGGAGGGAAAGCGGTGTCCCTGATCTACCCTC